TCATCCAGCACCAACATTTTTATAGATCGGGTTCTCAAGCTTCTTCTTCTTATCATGTCTTATGATCACAACAAAGGAATAAATTACAAAAAAAATTGCACTACAAATCTTCATACCAAAGCAAAGTCAAGCCAACACTTGCATCAAAAGTTCAACACTGCCGAGGCAGACTTATAATAATCTTGTCCTATACCCACTACAAATGTTTCACATCTTTCTTTAGCAAGTTACAATTACCCTGGTACATGAACTAGTGAATATGAAGGTAACTTAGCCTTTCACATGATGGGAATAATTGAAAGAGCACACATGAATAAACATTTATAAAATAAGCAGGATTCCAAAAACATTTTGATTGATTCTCACCTATGCTATATTGGAGGGCAGATGCGTACAGATGACAACAGCATTAACAATTTTTTGCTTTTTTATTATATAAAACAAGTAAATTCCATGTTACTAAGGGTCTGTTCACTATTTCACAATTACAGTACATCACAGAAGATGTCAATATGTGTTAAGACATCAGCAACACACTCGCCTGAGCCTTGTGTGTCACTCTTTTGTGTTACCACATTTTGACATCATCTGTGATCTATTACCAAACAGACACACAGCAACATCAAATCTATTTGTTAAATGGACATTAGGACTAAATTACACTGCACACCATAGCAGCATTGAATTTATAGCAATCACAAACCTAACTAGAATCATATTACTTCCTTACCAAAAACTCTGCCAGGTGTACCAGACACAACATGCTGTCCATAATCAAGCTTTCTGATGTCCTCTCCTACATTTGTTCCTCCAATACATGCATGACACTGAATGCTCATGTAGTCACCCAGAGCAAGAATGACCTGTTGAAAGCCACAATAAGTATCACGAAATCTCATAGGGGAGTTTATGGTGGTTGATTTTGAGCCCCATTTGATGTTAATAAGCACAAGAAAATTTTTCAAAGACAACCAAATTGCACAAGCCTGTAGGGCAAGTGTAATTTTTAGTCTTTGAAAAATTTAGAAGTGCTCATTACACAAAATTGCTAGAGAAATCATGTTATCACTCATTAATAATGTACATGAAAAGACATCACAGAAAGGCAAGACAGATAAAATTTTGAAAGCAAATGCATGCTATTTGTAATTTGCACTCACGTCACACCTTTGCATGAGAATACACTTGTTTTTAGCCAATGAGAGGCGTGTAGTTTTTTTTTTTGTGTACATTATAACTCTTCTTACAAACTTCAGTGATACAATTCACATGACGATGCAAATAGATCAGCTCTTAACCTTGCCAAGCTCCATTGTTTTTTTCTAAGCTATACAGATTTACAGTACTTCACAACATGAAAAAAACTCTGTGTTTATAATTAAATTTGCAGAACATATTTTGAGTCCTCAACGCACTTTGAGAGATTCAAATGACTAACAGGGTATCAAGATAAATCAGATAAAGTAACAATAAACACAAATTAATCTACCTTCTGAATTTGTTGTGCAAGTTCTCGGGTTGGAGACAAAATCAGAGCCTGTGTTTCTCTTGTCTGTAGACAACAAAAGCAACAGTTGGGCAAACTTATGCATATAGATAGCGTATATTTATGAAAATATAGTATATTTTTTTTTTTACCATGCAACAACCAACTGAATTATTTTCATTTATTTTTAATGAAGTTGAAATCAAGGTTTTGTTATAATAAACAGGTTTCTGACTCTCTACAGATTATTCTCGAGACATTACAATTGATGGTATACTAAAATTTTTACTTGATTATGCAATCTGAACAATCATTCTTTGTCTTAAGTTTAAGATTCAGATTTGATTTCATTTATTCCTGCTTCAGATCAGGACCACCACATCACAGTGAAACAACTTTTTGCCAATCATTTGTTGAAAGTAAGATGAAAAGATTGTGTTCATGGGGATGAAACATATTCTAAAACACTGGTATGAGTTCTATTGACTGACTTTTCAACAGCATGTGCAAAAGTCATGATCAGAGTCAAGCTAACAATTGTTTACCAGACAATTGTCACTTCTAACTAAAAAATAACCTCTAACTGAATAAAACTGCCCTTCACTTGAAACCAAGTCTACTGAGATGACAATCTCAGTAGACAATCTCAGCTATCACTGACAACAGTTCATTTCTGAACAGAACTCTTCCAGATCATAACACATCATCATCAACTCTAGCAGTTCTCCCTGCTTTAAACAATTTTCCCTAGACTATTACAAGCTTTTCTAATCCATTCTTGAACCTCACATGTAATTTACAAACCTGAATATCTATTGACTGAAGTACAGAGATGGACAGAGTGGCTGTTTTTCCTGTTCCAGACTGAGCCCTGGAGATGAAGAGAGAAAGACATCAGTCAGTAACAAGCTGCCTGATTTGAGGTATAAATTCAGAAGTACACGTAAGGAATAATATAAATATTCTAAACATTAATATAAATCTAGGGAATGCTTATCTTCTATAGACCTTTCTGTAGGATTACTGAATAATTTTTTTTTCAGCATTTAATTAAGTGCTGAGTCTTTCTGCTTAATCTTCCAGAAACTTGAAAACATCAGAGGTATAAGTAACCAAACAAGTGACTCAAGTAAGTGACTCAACCAAGTGGCATTGAAGGGATCACTACACCAACTTGAAAACAAAATTACTGTATCTTTCAATTTAAGTAGAACTCTACAGATACAATATGCTAGCTTGACACTTCGATAGCTTAGACGAATTAAAATATTCTGCAGGTTTACCGATTCCAATTTTCAGAAACATGACAAGAAAACGTATAAATGTTACGTTTGTTAGGACACTCAATTCCTAATGTTAATACGTAAAAACTTACTGTGCAATGACGTCTCTTCCTTTGATAATCGGTTTAATAGCACGCTGTTGAATTGCGGATGGTTTCTCAAAGCCTAGAAATGATCAAAAAAAGCTCAGAGACGAATGAAAAACCCTTGCAAACACATTTCGTGGTTCCGGCGTCATGCATTGATCGAACTTACCATAAGCGTAAATGCCTCGAACCAAGTCTTCGCGAAGTTTTAACTGGTCGAATGTGGGAACGACGTCAACCTCTTCTGAAGTTGAGAATTCGATCTTGGTTGGATCTTCCTCATCGTCGGCTACAACTTTTCTTTTGCGAGACATCTTACAATCTCCTAACTATCTCGTTTTCTTTAAGCGTGCATGAAGGACGAGCTGAGAGACCGCGCCTGGTTACAACCAACCAAGCGTTACTAAGCATGATGGGATACGAGCCGATAAGCAGGCCGATAAGGGGGCGGTCATTGATCAAGAGGAGGGAGGTCACTAATTTTTATGCAGGAAAAACAGAAGAAAAACGCGCGCAAATTACAGTGTACGTGATTGATAGAGGGCTTGGGTGGGGTCAGCAATCAGTGTGTTTCATATGAGGCAGGGTTAGAAATATTTACTTAGTCTCTCCCTATTTTAGCATCACTTTCTGATCCAGGAATATGATATTAATTTTTGTTGTATAAGAGCATATGTCAGAACTTAGCTTTTTACAGGTATATTTTGATTTTTTTTACTTGACGATGTTAAGCTGACATTGAGAGGTCTCTTCTTTAAATAAATTTTGTTGACAAGGGCATTACAATTTTTTGCTTTTATACCAGTGTTTTAATGTTAAATCCAAAATAACTGAAAATAACCTTTTAATCATAACATATAATTTACAACTTTATTAAAAAGTTTTCTAATAAGTATTATCACAAGCAGTCAGAAGGATTCAGTCCTTTAGTCCTTTATATCCAAACATCAATATACATATTCTCTATACTGTTTCCCATACATTTCCTAAGGTACTGACAAAGAGAATTTGTTTAACAATCAAGAGCTTCTTTAGTTGGTGATCATGCACTTTATTAAGGTGACCTTAACCCTGAGTGACCGAGACAGAATTTCACCTTATAATATCATTACAATATCAACCAGATAAGTAATGAGAATAAAGAGAAATATCAATTTGAGGATAATTAGTTGATCCAATTCTCAATTCTCTGAACTAACATTATAAGAATTGTATGGTTGACAGTAAGGAGAACTGCAAATTTGGTCTGGGAGTTAAAGGGTTAATGTTTGATTCAAGGGTGATGATGTTTACAGAGATAAGATGCTTGTCTCTCTTTGGTGATGAAGAATTAAAATAAATTTTTATATGCTCAATGGCACATGGCCAGGATGAATGAGATTTTGAAACAGTTGGTGTGAAATGGTGGCAGATTGAAAGTTCTTTTGCTTCTCAAGCTATAGAAGCCTTGATGACATGGGGGTATTAGGTGGGCGAGACTGTGATTGTTCAAATTGATGATGCCACTGAATAGCTTAGAGCAGTGATCATTGCATCTTTGGCGTAGAGTACTGAGTCCATAATTTGTACAGAGCACTTAAATTATATAGAGACCCTTTGCAAATAGCCCTAGTTTTAATTGCACTATATTTATATCGTAAATAATTATTCAATTCAGTCTTTGGCTGCAACTTAGTTATTTGTGTTAAACTATCTATCTATAATAAAACTATGAAACTTGATTTTAGAGGACTTGTGCAAGTCTTGTGATGCTCAGGATGAAATACCTAAACATTCTCTTCCATAATGATACATTCTCAAAAAAAGAAAAAGAAAAACCGTTCTCCCATGCCTTGTGAAAACAATCTGTTCTTATTTTTTTTTACTCTTTAATAAAAGATGGTAGACTTGGCAACCCCATGAGAGAATCTTTTGAGGGCAATATTGCTTATAAACCAACAGCAACTAAAAAACCAGTGATAGTCTTCTTGTATTGTTGATAAGTACATAAATGTCATTGAGATGATGGGTAAGGGAATTCTTTTAGGAAAAGTCTCTTGAAAATTGCTGACATTTCACACATTCTTGGCTCCTTTTCTTGTTGTTTACTAAGCTTCATCATTTTTATTTATTACTTAATTCATAATTTAAAAAGAATTTATCCCATACAGCTGCCTTCGGGTACCCTTTTCACATACTGATGCCACCTGCCTTCTCTACAGAAAAATGCAAAATGCTTAGAAACAGAAGTTCCCTGTTGTGTTTAAGGGAAAGAAACTGGTAGTTGATGAAAAACACCAGCAGGTGGCACCCTTATTACTACAAATATTTACTTTTTATCCTCTCAGGGCTCACTTCCCATTTCTAAACAAGGACATTTTACCAATAAATCACTCTGTTGGTAAGAATGCAAAAGCAAAGGTTTATATCAACATCGTCAGAGTAACCAATACAAAGACTTCCAGACCATTTCAAACACAATTTTAAAGAGTTGTACATACAAAGTTAGGTCACCTGAAAGATCAGCCTTTGTTGCAGGGTACAATGGGAAAAATTATCATGTGAAGTATATTTGAGCTGCTGAATCTTTTTTAATCAGCTGTGGACGATGTGATGTTTCTCACAACATTCTTAAAAGATTGGTACACAGAGATGTCTTTTCTTTGTTCAATTTAATCAATTTGCAAACAAATTTGATAAAAAATTCCTACATAAAGCAGGGGTCAAGGCAGTAAAATTAACATAAGTTTTGTAAGAAAATACAGGTCATAAAATGGGAAAATATTAAACCATATTTACTCTAAGATGATGTTTACGACAATGCTCCACATGGAATCTGGAATCAAAACATTCTTTTGTGCTGCTTCAATTTGCAGTTCACAAGATCCTTGTCTTCAAACAGTTTGCCTTCAGTGTTTCAAATACAACAATGTTTGACTACACTGTTGAATTCCACCTTATTTTGTAAGTACTTTTTGTAAACTGCTGGTTCAGTTTACCTAAAGAATATATCTATTGTTGACAGCACAAAAAAAAAATATATGTTGCCTTAATACGTGCACATCATTGCTGCAGCTATCCAAACATACATCAAAGTTTGAATATTTGAGAAGAAAAGAAATGTGTATGTACCTGCCAAAAAATCTGCATAATAACACACATATATTTACATATGTGATAGAGCTTGTCAAGAAGGAAAGCAGGTGACCAAAATGTATGCAAGACTCAGCCGAAAAACATATTTCTGAGAATTACCTCTAACTTTTACAAACTCAGAGTAAAAGACAAGGTTTTTTTAATCCTCTTCTTTTCAAATTTATAAAGGTCTTTTGGTGAGAGTATGTTGACTTTGAGATTAAAGGCATCTTGTTTAATTAAATAAACTCCTAATATGGAAACAGAAACACACAATGTTCGTTTTACGTGACTTAACATGGTGCGAAACCAAAGCATTTTTCAAGTGTTCAAGTAAAAATTTTACTTTACTCGGTCCAGGTAGTTTTTTCATTTCTCTGTTTGTATCAATACTGACATACTGTCGTTTCATTAAAAAAACATGGCTCAAATCATGGGCAATGATCAAACCTTTGAATTTTGATTGCTATTCAATATGAAATTTCTGTGACAAAGGAAACATTTTATACAGGCAAACTAAATGAATTTGTCAAAAGCAAGCTTAAATATTTTGTTATAGATAAATATATTATCTTAACTATTTGCAAGCGATCAAACGCTATACCCAAAGCACGGAAAACGTAATTTCGACCTTAACAAAGAAATATTTTTGCGATGAGTAATAAAACAGGTAGAAACAAGAAGTTTCAACTTTTTTCCTTCCGGTCGTTTTTGATTCCTACATATTTACCTTACAGTGAGGAAATTTTTCTTTGAAAGCCTTAACGCTTTCTTGTGAAACGCTGAAACAATCCGTAATGTCAAGTGTTTCCAAACATGGTAGAGAATTTCCTATTTCCAACAGCTGTTCGTCTTTGCCCACAATGTCCGTGAAAGAAATATCCAAATTCCACAAGCAATCTAGATAACAAAAGCACGATTTAAGACCTTCATAAGTGAGTTTACTACAACCGTTTATGGACAGAAACGAAAGTTCCACGTTGAAACAAATCGTTTTTAGTCCTTCGTCCGTTATATCCGCGAACCCAAGGCCCAATGATCGAAACTCATCGCTGGCATAATTCGCGATCACGCAAGCAGTGTTGTCGGTAATACCTGTTTCAATACTATCCGAATTATGGACAATAAGCCTTGCTAGTTTTTCGCATCTGTTCATCAGCGCATACACTCCTACGTCGGTAATTTCGCTAAATTCCAGTGACAAATCCTCGAGAAAAGGCAGTTGATCAGCAATTACGATCAAGGACACATCGGTGATGACGCCATTGGAAATGTTCAAGCATTTTAAATTTCGGCATAAGTGAGCTATTGTACAAACTCCAAAGTCAGTTATTCCTCCGTCTTTGTCGCAATAATCGATCACGAAAGACTCCAGTTTTCGGCATTTTTTCGCTAACGCCGCCAAACTCCTGTCGCTGACCAATACTTGGTTATACCTGAGGGTCAACTTTCTTAATTTTCGGCATCCATTTGCCAAAAGCCGCATCATTTGATCGGTCAAAACATCAGCATAACTTTTCTGATCGTCCTCCAAGGAAGCCTCGTAAACGATCATTTTTTCAAGTTCAGGACATCCTGATGAAATTACCTTGATTGTGTTTTCTGTGACCGCAATGGAGTAAGCGTACAGCTTCCGTAAACCTGAGTTATTTTTAACCAAATTAGAGAGAGCCCTCTCAGAAACATTCTTCAAAGGTATCGAAACCGTTTCCAAAGCATCACAATTGCGCGCCAAAGCGAAAATGCCGTAATCTGTAATTAAATTACATCCATTTAGATACAGTTTTTTCAGGTTTGGACAGTTTAAGGAAATATGCTTCAAAGACTCATCTTTTACACCTGTACAGTTCGTTAGATTGATGCTCGAAATTAGATTGGTCCTTCGAGCGACAACCCTTGCGACTGTATCAGCTGCCACGTTCGTAGCATGTTTCGGCCGAATACGTAAAGTTTTCCACAAGCTGGGGTCGTAACAGAGCCTGTGCCATCGTGAACAAACCCTTGAGCATCGTACCAAACGAGGATAGTCGAGATAAGAGAGAATATGAATAATTACCGCGTCCGGTAAAGACGTTACCGTAGCCATGTCCAAACGTTCTTTGTTTTACTTTCGCCTTTTCAGTTTTTTATTTCATTGATTTTCCCGCGCATTGTTCTCAGCCTCTTTTGCATGTTAGCCTCGTTATCGCTTTGTCACCCAGGCCCTTATGAAATTTTCCACATGGACAATTCGTTGAGGGTAAAGCGACTTTGTGTTGAGTAGAAAGTGTGATCTTTCGATATTCTTCTTCGATATACCGGTGGCAGTTTGAATTGTAAGTCGTATCCCTTTCTTTTACACTTAAGAAGAGAAGTTGATGTTTAAACATGATGAAATGCATCCATCTATACCATCTTTCGGGACAGAATTTTGATGTTGAGATGCAGTTATCTGACTGGAAATTTTTGTTTTTGCAATCTTTTAATCGACAAAGCTTTCTTTTCTTATCGTTCACGTCGTATTTTACTATCTTACACAGGTATTATGGTTTCTTCCTTGTAGTAAACGAACTGAGGTAAGTGTGGGGTAATTACAGCGGCAAACATTTTACAATTTTCCGGTTAAAATGGCGAACGGGATCCAGGTAGAAACCGTCGTGCTATGCGGGCGTGCCAAGTTGAGCGAGAACTAGTTTCACGGTATTCTCCGACCATTTAAATTCTTATGGATGGTGATGAAGGTGCAATCTATACGCTTAACGTTCCTAAGCTGCATACAGATTTAAGATAGAGGTTTAACAAATGCATCTCTGCAAACATCTGGTTCTTTTTCAGATGTCTTTAAAAGAAACTTCTTAATGAGACTCATGCTCTCGATGTTTAAATTCTCTGACAGTTCTCAAGCATGATGAATTGCATTAACTTAACCATCTTTCGGGACAGAATAATTTTGTTGAGGTGCATTATCTGACTTGAGAATTACTGAAGGTAGTAGACATCTCCCTGTACATTCTAAAGCAGTTTGTAACCCTTGCACATAATGCTATTCTTCCAGCCTGAAGTACTTATTGAGAACAACAGACTTCCTCCTCTGTAAGTATGAACTTTGTTAGTAATTACTAATAGTAAGGCTATAGTTCAACTCAACCCTCAGCAATCCTATCTTCAGCAGCACATTTTTAATGATGGTGATAATGATATGGCACATGTTTGGGTCATTTTCATTTTCTAATACTCTTGACAACACTTTGCAACTTAGCATAGGACTTTGATTCAGATCTCAGTGGTTTCAATAAGAAGGGGTACCAGTAGTCTACCAATGCCTACAAGACCTCTTATTGTCAACTCTTTAGCCTACAAGCAGATACCCATAATGCTGGAAATTACTTCTCAGAAATCTTAGATTTCAAGGTTTTCTTTGGAGAACATGCATCCTGAGGTTGCATGCATGTAAAAAGTAATTGAAACCTGTAAACTCCATGAGGCAGTTTACCAAGAATGGAGGGAATCTTTTATGAAGATGTCTGCTAGTTTGGATATTAGGTCAGATCACAGCTTTAGGAGAGTTTTGCCATATTCTTAAAGATAAACAGGGTTTTTACAAAGAAATTTAATAAATAGAATAGGGTCTTGACCCTTAAACTCCCAGAAGTGATTAACACATAACTTCTCCCTTTGATATCCATACATTTTTCAATAAACAGGTAATGACATTACTAAAACTTACCAGGTAGTTATCTTGTTCTAGCACCAAATTCTCATAACTAATTTCCAAGGAGATGTGTAGCAGCTAGAGGGGAGAATCATCAGTTAGACCTTGTTAAGTTAATTGGTGAAGTACCAAGAGAATATTTCAGTATAGTAGCTAAAGAATTCTCTGATATGTGATCACCCTGGTTGAACCAGAGCAGTAGGCTTGGGCAGTACCTAAGTAAACCCAAAGAATCTGGATCAAGGGAAATGAAAAACAGGTCTTTTTCTGCATGAGAAACTAATTCCTAAGGATACTGGTTTGTAAAAAAAGGGTTTCCAATCACATAATTGTGCTTCTTCAAAAGATGAATAAATTATTCAAGAAAAGCTAGAAATTTTTTAGCCCCAAAAAGCTTAAAAACAGGGACTGGATAGGTCTGTGATCATAAAGGTTACATTCACACCAATCCCAAGCCATGATGTGAAGATGTTTACTTACTATGAGTTATGATTTTGCTGCAGTGCTCCTTGGAAATGTCGGACATGGATGACGATTTCATGTGTGATGATGATGAAGATTATGACCTGGAGTACTCTGAAGACAGTGCCTCTGAGCCTGACGTGGATTTGGAAAACCAGTACTACAATTCCAAAGCCTTGAAAGAAGATGATCCTAATGCCTCATTGCAAAGCTTTCAGAAGGTTTTGGATCTTGAAACAGAAAAAGGTGAATGGGGATTCAAAGCACTGAAACAAATGATCAAGATCAACTTCAAGCTGGGCCATTATGATGAGATGATGACCCGCTATCAGCAGTTGCTCACATACATAAAGAGTGCTGTCACAAGGAACCACTCTGAAAAGTCTATTAATTCCATCCTGGATTACATTTCAACTTCAAAGCAAATGGAGTTGCTACAGAATTTCTATGAGACCACACTGGAAGCCTTGAAAGATGCAAAGAATGATAGACTGTGGTTTAAGACAAACACAAAGCTAGGAAAGTTGTACTTTGACAGAGGGGAATTCACTAAGCTGGCAAAAATCCTGAAACAACTGCATCAGTCTTGTCAGACGGATGAAGGAGAAGATGATCTGAAGAAGGGAACTCAATTGCTAGAAATTTATGCTCTGGAGATCCAGATGTACACAGCACAAAAAAATAACAAGAAGCTTAAAGCTTTGTATGAACAGTCCCTTCACATCAAATCTGCCATTCCACATCCTCTTATTATGGGGGTGATCAGGGAGTGTGGTGGGAAGATGCACTTACGGGAGGGAGACTATGGAGCAGCTCACACTGATTTCTTTGAGGCTTTTAAGAACTATGATGAGTCTGGAAGTGGAAGGCGCACAACTTGCCTGAAATACCTTGTCCTGGCCAACATGCTTATGAAATCTGGTATCAACCCTTTTGACTCTCAGGAAGCAAAACCTTACAAAAATGACCCAGAGATTCTAGCCATGACAAATCTTGTCAGTGCCTACCAGAATGATGATATCAATGAGTTTGAGAAAATTCTCAAAACCAACCGCAAGAACATAATGGATGATCCCTTTATTAGGGAACACATTGAAGATCTCTTAAGAAACATCAGGACACAAGTGCTTATCAAGCTGATTAAGCCATACACACGGATCCACATTCCATTTATATCCAAAGAGTTGAACATCGATACAGAAGAAGTGGAAAGCCTTCTGGTACAATGTATACTTGACAATACCATTCATGGCCGCATTGATCAGGTAAATCAACTTCTTGAACTGAACAGAACAACACAGAGTGTTGATAGGTTCCAGGGACTGGATAGGTGGACCACACAGTTAAATTCACTTCACACTACAGTTGTAAACAAGATTGCCTAAGTGGCAATTTACATAATCAACAGTCAAACAGACAAGTAACTGTTAAGCAGGTGCCATAAATCTTGCTGTATATGTGAGCTTCTTGGACACATGTCTGTTGTTAATAAATGAAGGTTTGTGTGGTGATTCCAAGTTAGAAGGCTCTATTTTTAGGGTTTTTTTTTTTTTTTTCTTTTTTTTCAGTATATCACTTTTTTCTTAAAATCAATGTAGCATTGGGAAAAAAAGAAAATGAATGGAGATTGTTGTGATTTACAAAGGCAAAACCAGTGAAATAGTTGAGACAACAATAATGAATGCCAGTATTGGGAATGTTAAACTTTGGTGTATGGCTGTAGTTGTAGTTTTTTGAGGGATCTTCTAGAAAACATTTCAAACATTTGGAACAAGCTTGTGGAACAGGCTAAGAGACAGTCAGTAATTGTGAATTCATTATTTGCATGTGTAATTTTACTCTGAGATGAAGTCACTCTAGCCTCTTTAAAACATTTTGTATTTTTGTTAGAGGTACTTTATCTGGCAAAATAATCAATACAGTAATACAATAAATGTTGTTTTTTCATGGTATGAGTGGAAATGTTACATGTATGTCTCCAGAATTGTCAATTAGAGTTAAGAGCCAGTCAAAACTACATTATATTCTGCTTCTTTTAGCTGGCTACTTTCGCCTCATTTTACCATAATTGTGGATGAAACTCATTCAGTTATACACCAATCAATTTAAAGATACAACCTTTCCCTCTTCCTTGGTCAACAGGCTTTTGACTGTTTTCTGTGCCCATGGGGGTAGGAAATTTGAACCAGTACAGTCAAGTCTTAACTGTTCTGGTTCAACAAGTTTTTAAACCATAAAACTTGTTTTATCTTTTAAAATGCAGGTGTTTAAAGGTAACGAGTTAATTTTTTTTTTTTTTTGGAGGGGGGGGCAGTGTTGTAGCTTCAAATTGATCTCTGCACTATTGAAATACTGTCAAAGTATTTTGAACAGCAGTCATATCCCAGTTTTGAGTGCAATTAAATGCATTTAGGTAAACTTCTGTGACAGGTTCATATCTATGGATCAATTTAAGTCATAATTTGGAACAAGGTTTGTGCAAATTTTGTGGAATGCTTGGAAAATTTTTATGGAATAGTCCTCGGTTGTTGCTGTAATCTAACAAATTAACATAATGTTACAATTTGCCTTTTCTTATTTGTCTTCTCCTTTTAAAGTTTGAGAGCTCTATGCATGATCTTTAGAATCGATCATCAAAGATGCCCAAACTCTTGAGCATCACCTCCTGTTTTGCTGTAGTTACATGAAGTAAGGTGATTTTAATACACCAAAGCACAAATTTTCTATGCAGCTTGCAAAATGTTTGTTGATGTTTTTAAAGAAAACTCACATAAAATGAAAGGGCATTAATTAAGTTGCTCCGACAATCCACAGTTATTGTACTTAAATAATGATTCTATTTAACACTTTGACCCCTAGAAGTGACTAGCATCTAATTTCTCCTTACAACATCAGCCCTGAATCAAACATTAAGGTCATGAGAATAAAGGAAATGATCACCAACTAAAGAAGCTCTTGGTTGTTTAACAAATTCTCCTTGTCAGCACCTCAGGAAATATATAGAGAACAGTATGAATAAGATGCAAAATAGTGTTGAAGTGTAAAGGATATATTAACCTTGTACTTCAAGATACGCCTTCAAAGTCTCGCAATTGATATGATTAAGGAAATCATGCCACTAGACTGTCAAATCTGATTCATTCTTGCCTTGGTCCTGTGGGCAATGAACTAAAAATTTTTCTTCACCTGTTTAGCAATATGGTCACCTCGGCCAACCGTAATATGATTTTATTAAACTCTGCAATTTATGTACTTGAATTTAAGGTGTCACTTTTATTGTTGTTACTTAAACCTTATACTCCCAGTAGTGATTTACATGTAATTTCTCCCTGAAATATCTCTACATTATCTGGTAAACAAGTAGTGAGAATACCCAAACTGATCAAGTAGAAATTCCTACCTTGATATAACCCCACGTTGTAGAAAATTTAAAAGGAAATGTGTAACAGCGAGAGGTGAGAATTAGTTTAACCAGATCTTGGGAGTGAAAAGACTAAATGAAAGAAAATGTAGTATTGTGTGGAAGCACCAGATTTCGTTTGAAGTTCTCTTTATCGCTTCTATTTTCCTGTATTTAAAAGATTAGAAGGCAGTCAAAGGGCTGCTGGAATTTCTGTCCTGTGTACCAAAAATAATTTAAACAAAAGCAAACATGTCTGAAAACTTTTTGAAAAGGACTTTGTAGAAATGGCGCGTGCTTACCAAAATAAGAAGGGGCAAAAAGAGTGAAGTAAGAATTACCGAAATATCCAGCTAGATACATGTAAGTGCCAAGAAAATTTTAACTTTAAAGCACTCAAGAAGGCAAGGCGGTTTCCCGATATGGATTAATAAATTATGTTCTCATTCAGCGTAACTCTCGGAAATGCTTCGAGATTCACTGCGCTTCGAATAGACTCTTGTTCTTGTCGCGTCTCGTAATTGTCAGCCGAGCGATTACATATTTTGGCGTCGGTCTTAAGATCCTACAGTGACGACTTGTTTCTCTCAAATCTCGGTGACTTCACAAGTCTGAGGCCATATTTTGGCGTCGGTCCCAAGGAAGATCCTTCAGTGAAGACTTGTTTCTCTCAAATCTCGATGACTTCCGAGTCTGAGGCCATATTTTGGCGTCGGTCCTAAGTAAGATCCTTCAATGAAGACTTGTTTCTCTCAAATCTCTGTGACTTCACAAGTCTGAGGCCATGTTTAGAAATTGAAATATAGGCAATAGCAGTATAGATCCTCGCTATGAAAACAAGTCAGTTCTGTTTCTTTTTTTAATCTTAAAACAGGTAAACCCGCTGAAACAAAAGTAGTCTCTCGGGAGCTATAACTATCGGGATTTTCGAGTGACGGGCTCCAGGAGATAGTACTGGGTATCATTGATTTGTTAAATACTAAGGGTAACACGTAAAGGATAATACAGTGGTCACACGTCTGCGCATGTGTGAACTTTGTAATCACTACGTGCCTGATTAAATGACTTGCTTTCAGTCTGTCAGAACCATGTTGTCTCACACGAGCTACAAACAACCACAAAAACCAGTAAGTCACGGTGTTTAAAAAGCGTATTTTCTTGGGTAAATCTTAGAACAGAATGGTGTTTCTGTACTTGAATAGGCTTTGTGCACGAAAAGTGTCAAAGTCTACTTTTGTTTCCTCTTTTTCTTTCACTTTTTTTGGTTGTTCCTTTGAAATTCTCAGCGGGAAATTATTGCACGGTCGGCCAGATTTGATCCCCTCGCGCATGCCCGACGTTTGCCCGGATGTATGTACTGAGAAAGTGTGATTGTGTCCAGCGGACCGATTTCCAATCCTCACTGGAACCTTCTTTTTGCCTAGAAATGTTATTTATTATACTCGCATTAATGAGGAAAATGAACGGTTAGAGGAAGCTTTCATTTAATAATTCTTAATGAATTAGACTAAAATTACAATGGTATTTGGATAAGCCTTATCTTTCATCGTCCACGTAATTATGGGTTATCAATTTTCATTGATACTAAGAATTTTTCCGTCATACATATTTACAAATTAAATGGATATAAATATATACACACTACATTTATATGCTCTTTTCCATGATGTTTTTTCCTTTTTAGTTTGAACTAATTGCAACTTTTATAACCATCTATAACCGACTCAGTAAGTAAGGTTCTTCAAAACCAAGCAGATTTTTTAACTAGCTAGCTTTCTCTGACGTCAGTTTAATTCCCTTTCAGCCTAAATGGCTTTATGACTATACATCACAGCCAAGGTGCCACTGCACAAGGACTTTCTCTCGGCCTACTATTGACTTAAGCTTACTAAATCGTAATTGATCTTCAAAAATTTGGCGTTAACTGCTTTCCCGCAGCAATTTCGTGCTTTTTTTCACGCAACCCGATTTTCAAGGTGTCAGTTTCCATAAACTTGTCCTCATTCTAAACCAGTATCACTTGTTTGCTCGCTGCGATATCGATATTGCCTGATCGTTTTCTTCACAGCATGCCTGACTTCTCTGATGCGCCAATAATAAAGCACTGGGTTCAGAGATGAATTGAAGAAGATTAAGGTGGCCGTGAATCCCTCGGCGACAGGCCAGACATCACCAGTAACAGCCTTCAACCCTGACACTATACTGTACGGCAGATAACAGATCAGTAGTGTTAAATGAACCCAAAGCGCGCTCGATACGGTTTTCTTGTACCGCGCCATGTTCATTGGAGGGTTTTTATTTTCAAGTCCCTGGTTTAAAACATTCTGGATTTTTGCCTGCTGCGCACAGAGTGTGTGGCAAATTTTTGCATAGCAAAACGTGGAAATAATAACACAAGTAAATATACCCATGAGACAAACAAGATAGAAGAGATATCTATTCCTCAAGAATCGCGCAAAGCCATTTGCGATATTTACCACCCAGAAAAATATCACAAATCTTCGGACCCGTGGGGCAGTCACAGTTTGTCGGTATCGCATTCTGAGCGACAAGGCGAGTAATCTGTCCACACTGATGAAGGTTAGAATAAAGAGAGACACTCCGCTTAGAACTGCACTTGTGATGTACGCCACTTCCACGGTGAATTGGTAGATAGGCAAATGGTCAGTGAAAATAGAGATCGAATGCAGCGCTGCCAGTGGCTGAGAGATGAGACCGACGCACAAATCTGTGATCGCCAAATTGAGTATCAATAGGCGCGAAGGCGGATGAAAGCAGGATTCTCGTCGTAGCGCAATAAATATCAACGTATTTCCAAGAGTAGCAGAGATGGAAAGGATAATATTTAAAACAGACAAAGCGACAAAAGAGTTGAAGACATGCGGAGAACTTTTGACCAGAAGGAACAAGGGCGGTCGAGTTGCCACACTGTTGTTGTTCGCCATATCGAAGACGAATTGTCACTAGCTTAATTTGAGGGTCCTTTTCATTTCATATGGAAAATAAAAGGAAGTAAGATCTCGAAAAATAGGTGGGATGGTTTATTTTAAGAGCGAAAGCTGTCAAGAATTTGTCAAATTGACTTTGAAACATGACGTTTGGTTGACCATAACGATATCTTTTATCTCACTTCTTAATGAAATTAGGGTGATAACCTTCATTTTTAATGAAAAACAAAGCATAAATCACTCGCCATTTAATTGGAATAGACCACTCCGTGAATCTTTGAATCATTCTTCTTTTTCTCTCTTTTTAGGTGTGGCGGAAAGCAACGTTTTTTAGCCAAAATTAGTGATTTCAAAAAGTTGACATACTTGCTTGAGTTTTGCGTCTTCTTTTGTAAACAAAGAGCAAATTACAATAATTCCTAACTGCTTTGGCTTTTAGACGCAGTTAAAAGAGTAATTTTTGAAACTGATGTCTGTATGCCAATTGTTAGCAGCAACATAATTTTTTTTGTCTGAATGTGCCGGGCGGAAAATGTCCTTCGTTTTGGCAAAATACCAGAGTCGCAGCTTCATTTTCGAAGTAATCTTTAAAAATTCTTCCTTGATTTTTATTTCACTTTCAGAGGCTTGCATTTATTCATGGAATGGTTACATTTAGATAGAGCTAAGGGACAGTGCTTTGACCAAAAGGTAAACATCTTCCCCAAATGTTATTTAACAAGTGTAGGCGTGTCCTTATTTCATCAATGTCTTCCTTTCGGTAAGTCAAATGATCGAACTGGAGTATGACTTCTGTGGTAACAACAAACCTTGATATTCTAACTTGTGCCTGTCGTCATCTGTTGCCTAAAATGTGGCGAGCTCCCATTTCGGTGTTTTTATTCACATTTAGATTTCCATTGATTAATCGAGGAGTTGGCCGAAAAAAGGTTTTACTTGTTGACCGTTTTCCAGAGACGTAATGGCGATCTTACTCCTCAGATTCATTCATAGAAGTTATTCAATCGATACTTATAATCTTTTTCGATATGCTTTCCAACGTATGAATCGATGGAATCGTAATTTGAATAACATTCAGGTGTCAGAATTTAATTCCCACGGCTAGATATTTTGACAAAAATCCATAATCTGATGACTCGGTTTGGTGCCGCTGGTGGCGAAGACGTTGCAATATTTCCACGTCAAAATATTAAAACATTCTAGATTATCTGCAATTCCCAAAGAAAACCTGATCACACGAGAGGATCAGATTTTCTCTGAAAGCACAGAAAAAAGAAGAAGAAAGCAAACAGTGACAAATGGCGACATGAATAAACTTGCGCGCGTCTGGTCTTACAGTACAACTTTGAGCAAATAAAGAGAATGAATTTTAATTTAATCTTCTTTACCTCATCATAAAAGCTATTTACTGATGGGCGGAACTAACAACGTTTTTTTTTTTAAATTAACTTATTTGCTGACAAATATTTATGACCGCAAAATTGAAAGGGCACAAAAAAGGGAGCCAGCAACCGACATTTAATTTTACCTACGACATTATTGCAGAATGTCTTCGCGTCAACGAAAGGTTTAATTTTTAAAAAACGCTGATGTTTGGAGTGCGAGCTAATGAGGACAATGCTGTTATTTTTAAACTGTTGAAACCGTTTTTTTTTTAATCCTTTTGGACATATTGCTAGTGTAATAGCAATTTCTGCATAGTTGAGTGAACCGCAAGTTTAAGGGCTTTTTTCGAAATGGATGCCGGTATTTGAGTCTGCGAAAGGCAATATTAGAATGTTTAGTGAATGAGGAAAACTTAATAGCGTTGAAGAGTTTATGCAATGATTTTAAGGAATATTAGCTCTTTGCTAACATTTGTTAATTGGTATGTTCGAAATTATATCGGAACTATGATAAATTTATAATTTTGATCGTAATCAAATTTTCGCGTTAAATGCAATTCGATGTCGTGAAAATTTCCTAAGAGCGTCTAAGGCGAATTAAAGAACCCTTTTTCCGTCCATAAAATTTCCTTCAAGTCATTTCTTTTAAGACAAACACCACTGCAGCCTTTCCCATTCTTCGGTGCCCAGTCCTGCGATCTCACTGGTGTTGAAATTTCCAAACTTTTGCCAAACGCTGGCTAACTTTGAAATCCAAAATGAAAATCTTAAGGCAATACAAATGGCAAACTTCTCTTTTTATTCAACCCTCCATCGCTTACAAATCTGCTTGTGCCAAAATCATGGCTGTAACTGCCTTTTAAATAATGCTGCCAAAATATTATTCAAACGATACTTTTTTTTCACAGAAGTATAGTCAAATATAGAACTCAGAAGCCGACGAACCCAACAAATGGAGAGTTGGCAAGACATTTCCAAATGCTATTCATTACTTAGCGGAAATTAAAATTTTGGGGAAAGAACACTACGTAGAAAAAGCTGGGAGACATTTTAAGTTTTTTTTCCTTTTTACCTCAACAGCCTGACTCTGAAAACCCATTTCAACACCCCTTGTTTTTCATGTGCTTCAAACCTTTCTTCGACGCGTTAAAATTTGGATAATTTCCAATTCGAACTTAGTTCGATCTCCGAGTCGATAACCTCGCGCTTTTTGTGAAAAAGAAAAATAAATTGACCTTATCCTAGATGTCAAAAAATGCCCCCATATGATGAAAAAAAAGCATATTGACTCAAGTACCATTAAAAATTTTGACCAATTACAGTGCACGTCTGTGTCATGCTGTGAAGTGACGTGATGTGGTTCAATTCGGTTGCCTCGCAAACGTGCGTTTCTCCGCAGCATGCTGAAAGTGAAATGTTTATCAGAGGTGGGCTATCGGGAAATTTTCAAAAACTGTTCAAATATGTGGGTCGACTAATTTTACTATGAAAACAACAACTACAAAAATCGTCTGCGAATCAGGGCGAACCTGCTTCTAATTTTCAAGATGGTAAATGAAACGGTGGCTTTGTTTATTCGCTCCAAAACTACGCCATACGTTTTCAATTCCTTCATCGTACTGGCTTGTCTAAATATGGTATTGTTCTTTACGGCGAGTTTTGGAAACATCTTGATTGTACTCTCTTTACGAAAGGAATCTCTACTTCATCCACCTTCGAGACTTCTTTTGCGTAATCTGGCCTTGACTGATCTGTTCGTTGGTCTCTTCACTCATCCATTAGCTACCCTGCACTCCATTTCCATTCTCGTTGAAAATGTGCCAATTTTTCAGTTCACTGTGCGGTCGAGTTATGTTAGTAGTGCCATCTTAAGCGGAATGTCTCTCTTTGTACTGACCTTGATCAGTGTGGACAGATTATTCGCTCTCTCTCTCGGGATGAAATACAGGCAAGAGGTGACTGCAAGACGTGTTCGTGGTTTTGTGATATTTTTCTGGGTGTTAAATACCGCGAATGGTCTTGCACTGTTGTCTCGGGAGCGATTTGTCTTTTACATATTCAGTGCATCGAGCATCTTTCTTTGCATGATAATTTCGACTTTTTGCTACGCGAAAATTTACCGCATCCTTCGTTTGCAAGAAATGAAAGTTCGCACCACTTGTTCCCAAAAACAAAAAAACAAAAACTCTCTGCTTAGCGTCAAGCGCTACAAGAAGACTGTGTCAAACGCGCTTTGGGTTCACTTGACATTGCTGGCTTGTTATTTCCCGTACAGTATAGTGTCGGGATTAAAAGCGGTGACAAAAGAAACTTGGGGAGTCGCTGAAGGCTTCACTGGGACTCTGATATTCTTCAATTCATCACTGAATCCTCTTCTTTATTGTTGGCGCATTAAGGAAGTGAGACAGGCTTTATTGGAAATGATCAGGCAATACCGAAGTTTACTATTGAGGGAAACTTAAATTTGAAAATTGTAAGGTTCTGGTTTGACTACGGTTCTATTTTTTTCATCTCAAACTCTGTTAGCCTCTAGTTACAGGTTGGAAATTACACAAGTCTCTTGGCATGATAGGTTGGCTAACGTTTGGAAAAATTAACGAATTGCTAAAGTCTGCAGCGCATTTTTTGTTCAGCTTGCAACATCAATTGAAAAAAATTTGTAAAGCTTTTTTTCTTATATGATCACATCATGAGGGTTTTATTCACAGAGGCAGACCGCTTAAAAACCACTTTCTATACCATGATAAAGGATCCCACGTGAAGGTAATGCTTAGAAATGGCTTTCATCTAAATAGTAACTCTCTGAGCCTTTCTTCACAAGCTTGAAAATCAGTAAAACTTCCTAGCTGGTACAATTTGTTATGCAGCACCACACGAAGGTATTGCCCAATAGCTTCCATATGAATGATCACATGCACTTTAGGGTATCATTCACGAATTCTTTAGTTGGAACCACTTTGTAAAGCATAAGGCTGATTTGAACAGAACCACACTTGGATACTATTCAAAAGCTTCCATTCAGTAAATGAAATAGGTTTTCATTTATCCCTGGACACAAAAGCTAAAATAACGTTGTAAGCGAAATTGAAATAGTATTGTGTAAATGTGTTGTTTATCATAAAATTTGCAATGATTAATTACAGGAACAGTTATTTGATTGCTAAGGAAATTAATCGTAAATCCATCACTGCACCTTCTATACGCAAGGTGCAGAGATGGATCACACGGCGAGGTTTCATTTACAAATCACACGTAGAAAATGGATTATTAATTGACGTTTCTAAAAAAAGTGCCCTTTTATTCAACAATTTTGCTTTCAATTATCTTGAGAAGTTTCTGTTTGATATGTATAGTGGCACTTAATTAGATGATGTACGATTCATTATGTTTGTGATTTTGCTGAATTCAAGTTTTTGATCTTTCTAAAAATAGAGAAGGAATGCTTAAAAGTGTCCTTAAGTGATTTTCACAGTGATGCAACAAAATAAAAGTCATTAAGGTTTCGAAATATGCTATACAACAAAGTGTGAACTTAAACGCAATTTGTGAGCGATGTCTTCCGGCAAAATCATTTCGCGCGACTTTGAAATGAAATTGTCTTCCGCTTCTTCG